GTCAGAGTATGAACTTAATTTGAAGTTGGAGCCAGCAAGGTCTCCTGGTGGATTGGAATTAGATGTGAGATGTGTCTTATTTTATTAGGCACATGAATTTGAGTATTATTGCATCTTCTTCGTGAATTTAACCCTATGTATAATAGTTGTCTCAAAGTCTCTTTTATTAGATATGTATAGATATTCCAGGGGTTTTTTTGGCAAATTATTTTCTTGGTGTATTTTTTCTAATCCTTTTACTTTCACCTGATTGATTGTTTGCTTGATTGATTGCACTTCTTTCTCTTCTTTAAAACATGTTTAATTTACATTTAATCACTGTATCTTTACAATGTATAACATGATTTTCCCCCACATGAATACAGTGCATTTTAGTCAAGTCAAAGATATTACCATATGCATTATCATCAACAGATAGCTTTTCACTTTTGTGTCTTTTAAGTATTTTGTTTGTTTTTTTCCTGATCTGCTCCCTCTCACCCCTTATTATCCACCCCCTCCTATACTGTCTCTAGTATCTATAGTTACCCTCTCTGCTATTATACCTTTCAGTCTTTCAGTTTCTTCTCTAAAGTGCAGGCATTCAGTATATATTGAGTGGAGATGTACAGTACCTGTCTTTTATAGTCTAGCTTGCTTCACTTAGCATTAAATCTCCCATACTTTTCTGCTTTGTATCAAATGTTTGGGGTCTCATTGTTTTTTATGACTGAGTAGTATTCCATAGAGTGCATGTGCCACGTTTTTTTCAATCCACTTATTTGTTCTTGGACATTTGGGTTGATTCCATGTCCTAGCTATTGTGAATAATGCTGCATAAACATGGATGTGCGGGTGTTTTTCCGATTGAGGTTCACCCTATTGATTACTTATATTTATGGGTGTTCTGCATAAATTACATGTGGTTTTCAAATCCAGAAAGATAAACTAAATTTCTTTTTAGATACTTTCAAAATAATCCTGGCTTTTATTATGTGGTCAGCATATGCAAGCTTCCTGTAACTATGGATGCCTGTTCAGTTTGCCTTCATATATAGAGGAATTAACTCTTACTGGGAGCTGTAAGCTGATATCAGACTTGGTGTACTTGATTCTGTTCTTACACTTCTGTGAACTGCCACACTGAGCTAGGAGCCTGAGGCTGAGGGCCAGGTCTATAGCTGGTATGGGTACCTGTCCTCAATGAGACCCTTACCATTTAATAGTCCTCACTTCTCTACTCAAGGCCTTTTATGTTATTTTTGCCTTATTATTTTTCTGGAATGTCCCTCCCCTTAAGATGTCAGCTATGCAGCAAAACTACTTTTGTGCATGATCTAGTTGTCTGTAGCAGATGGCTCTTATGAAGTATGGATACTAACTTTTTTGTTTGTTTATAAGCCAGAGGGCACATGCACTCTGCTCAGAAGAGACAGGCAGAGGGAGAGGGAAAAAAATACCTTGCAGTGAGGTGTAGGCATACTGCAATCCCTTCTCCATTTCTCCATCTTTTTGGGATTTGGGATTTTTCTCATGCACATGCACCTGGCTTATTTTTCAAGCCACTGAGGCTGGGATTCTAATCACATTGTTGGTTACATGGGATCCAGCTTCTTAACCACTAGGCTGTGGGACCAGCCCAGGATACTAACTTTTTAATTTACTATGTTGTAAACCTTTTCTTGTAGCCTGTCAGCTTTAAGCTGTTTAAAAGTTATTACATATTTCATAATTCTCCATATGATAATCTTCAGTTTAACAAATGAATTTGAGGCCTTTTATCTTTCTTTAATTGAAAATTTTGTGGTTGTCCTTTTTTCTATCATCTGTTAATTTTTTTTTCTTTTTTTCCTTCAGAGTTTTCCATTTCTGGATATTGACACTTGTTATTTGCCTTTCACTTCTCTTTATTTCCTGTCTTCTGTTGTCTTGTGATTTGTCTTTTTTTAAAATTTTATTTATTATTATTATTTTTTTAATCTGACCAGAGAGAGACACATAGAGAAAGGGGGGAAGTGAGAAAGCAAGCCACCAGGTTCAGGACTCGAACCATGGTTGGCCATGTGGGAGTCCAGCACCTCAACCACCATGCTACCCGCTGGCCCCGTGGTTTGTCTTTTGTCAAGTAGATGGATAGCCATGAGTTATTTCAGCCATTACAGTTTTTTTCCAAAAATTTTAAATTTTGCCATACACGTATTCAACAGAGAGGAGAAAAGTAGAAAGCACATGGTCAAGGCCACAATCCTTTCTCCTCTATTTTTACCTCCTTCTGAGATTTTGGATAGACATGCACATGTGTCCAGTGTGTTTCCCAAGATGTGATCTGGGACTCAACTAAGCAGTCAGCTATGTGGAATCCAGCTACCTTAACCACCACACCATGGGCAGGCCCAGCCATCACATTTTTTATCTTGTTGGTTGGTTCTTATAGTTAGTTCTTTATTTTTCAAATTACTAATATCCTTTCTTTTCTCTTTGAGTTATTTAAAATACTTTTGAATGCTTTCTCTATACTCTTTTGGTATTTCTTAATTTTGTTTCATGTGATACAGATTTGTTGTTTATTGTCTTTATTGCAGTCAAGTTTATCATATTACCATTTCTTTTCCCTGTCAGCTCATATTCCTATAGGAATATCGGCTACTTTGGCCAGTAGTATATGTGGTGGCTAGGGTAATTTAAGTCTCTTCTGGTGAGACTTTTATTAAATATTTTATAAATAAATATATCTAAAATATCTTTAATATTTTGATACATAAAAACTTATAAATTTTGTAAATTAGTTTTGTATATAAAATAACTATTTACAAATAAAAAAATGTTTATAGTCCTCAAGAACATATCAACAGAAAATTCAAAGCTATTACTATTGTGTCCTCTTCCTTATTCTTGCCTGGAAAATACTGATTTAACGTTTTTCTTGTTCACAGGCTTAAGGGTCAGATTCCTGAAATTAAACAGACTTTGGAAATTCTAAAGTACATGCAGAAGAAAAAAGTAAGTGCATTTTTCTTTGTGAATATGAGCAAACTGGAATACTTCGGCAGACTTGTCTTCTCTGTCTCCTTGGCTACGGGTATTTGATCTGTGCTGCAGGATCCAGTCTACTTTCTTGACTGCATACACTAGAGTTGCAGACAGCGTGCTTTTTTATGGTTTTGTGGCCTTCCCCCAAAAGTCAGATTTACTTCTAAGGCCCCACAGGTGGATTACTTTATTTATATTGTTGTTTACTAAACTTAAATGCAATTTGAAATAGTTTTAGATATAAAAATAAAATGTCTTTTTTTTTTTTTGGAGAGGTTTTCGCTATAGGGCATGTGCGCTCGCCGGACAGACAGAGAGAGACATAGAGAGAAAGTGAGCGATCATCCCCCAGAGGGGATGGTCACGCCGCAATCCCTTCTTTTTAATCCACTGGGTCCGGGACGCGAACTGCGGTTGACTACATGGGAGTCCAGCGACATAGCCATTACGCTAACTGCTGGTTCCCTAAAATGTCTTTTTTTTTTAAAGAATTATTTTATTTGACTTTATTTATTTTAGTTTGACCACAAAGGGATGGGGGAGGGGGTGAGAAAGCAAGCTACCAGGTCTGGAACTTGAACTGCATTTGGCCATGTATGAGTCCAGCACCCCTAACCATCACGCCACGTGCTGGCCCTGAAAATATCTTGTTTTGAGATAGTAGCATCTATGGGTTTTCATCACTGTTTTTCTCTTTAAGAATAAGCAATGAGTCCAGGGTTTATAGAACTACAAAGAATCTTTTTTTTTTTTTTTTTGAGAGGTTTTCGCTATAGGGCGCGTGTGCTCGCCAGACAGACAGAGAGAGATAGAGACAGAAAGCGAGAAATCACTCCCCAGGGGGGATGGTCACGCCTCAATCCCTTCTCCTCCATTCTCCTCTCGGGATGTTGGGCACGCACGCACATGCGCCTGGCGTGAGTTTTAAGACACTGAGTCCGGGACACAAACTGTGGTCGACTATGTGGGAGTCCAGCGACATAGCCATTACGCTAACTGCTGGTTCCCGAACTACAAAGAATCTTAGAAATGATCTGTTTCAGGTTCTTATTCCACAGTTGAAGAAATAGTTACAGAGAGGTTGTACTTTACCAGAATCATGTAGCTAATTACTGGCAGTACTCATTAAGTAAAGCAGACTATAAAGTTAAATCTCATAAGCATGTTGTATTCAGAAGAATGTGTGTATGTGATTTATTAATTGACTGGTAGAATAACTACATTTCTAGCACATTATTATATGTAGTGAACTTTATAACAAACTTCAGAAACTGATTGGGCATGATACACAGATGAAATAATAGTGATAGCTAATTCTTGTATAGCAGTTACAATGTGGGCCAGACACTGTTTTGTGTGTGTGTGTATGTGTGTGTGTGTGCACGCACGTGCACGCGTGTGTAGTATATGTGTAAACTCAGTACTTACCGCTGTCTTCATAGGTGTAGGTACTGTTATCATTTTATAGATGAGGAACCTGAGACACAGAAAGGTTAAGTGACATGCCAAATATACAAGGCTATGAAGTCCCTGAGCCAGAGTCTGTGCCTAGACATCTGTCTTTAGTGTTCGTTTCTTCTTCTTCTTTTTTTTTTTTTTGCTGTTAGGGTGCATGCACTCGCTGGAGAGACAGAGACAGAAAGTGAGAAATCACCTCCCGGGGGGGAGGGGGCATAGCTATGCCACAATCCCTTCTCTTCCAGTCTTCTCTCAGGACTTCACACACACATGTGCCTGGCATGTTTTAAACTGCTGGGTCTAGGACTCAAACTGTGGTCAACCATGTGGGAATCCAGCAACATAACCATTATGCCATCCGTTGGCCTCAGCGTTTGTTTCTTTTACCACAATGTTTAGTATACTTGATGGTCCTACTTTACACATCTTAGATTCAATTGTGATCTGTCCTTTATAACCTTGATGTCAAACTGGTTGTTTATGATACTCTCATTTTTTTTTTTTAATTTTGAAGGAGTCCACCAATTCACTGGAGACCAGATTCTTGCTGGCAGATAACCTGTACTGCAAAGCTTCAGTTCCTCCTACCGATAAAGTGTGTCTGTGGTTGGGGGTAAGTAAATGTTACAGTACTACCTAACGTGTTTGTAAACCAGTATGTTTTCCTCTGCAAAACAGTATTGCTTGAGATAAAGAATTTATTTCCCTTTGATTATGGAAGGAACGAAAGGGTGGAGTTCAAGTAATTCAAATAGAAAGTGACTGGAATTAGGAGTGTGATGAAGATTGCAGTAAAAACATTTTGAAGTCTCTCCAAATTAAGACAAATTGACCAAATGCTGCTCCTCCAGCTAATGCTTTTTCTCTCTTAAATGTAACAGAAAGAAGAGCAGTGGAAGTAAAATAGAAGGTACTGCTGAACTTCAGATAAATCTTTCTTCCCATAAGAGTTTAATAGTGCTCAAAAAATTCCTTTAAATTTCAGGAGGTGAAGATTATTACAAATACCTTGAAATTAGAATCTGTTCAAAAAAACCTTACATTTTTATTTTAGATGATTTTGTGGACGTTGTCTGTGATTTTCCTGTCTTGCTCTTCTCAGTCCACTAACTGTCCAATTAGCAAATTTCTATACCAAGTAGCAAGTGCCCAGCTCCCCCAGTTCTCCTTTCTGCTGCTGGCCTATAGGATCCCCCTGGGAGGTGCTAGGTGATATGAATGATAGGCAGATGAGCACATGAGATTTGCTTTGCTATCCCTTAGCCCATCCTCCTGATTTTTGTTAGTTGTAATATTTTTAGAGTTTATACATTTACATTTTATTCTACAACTATAAGTCCTATACTTGTTTAGTCTTAGTTCTGTATTTAAAAAAACAGAGATAGGGAAAATGAGAAATCACTCCCCAGGGGCATGGTCACACTACAGTCCCTTCTCCATTCTCTCGGGATTTTGGGCACACTTGCACATGGCATGATTTTCAAGCTGCCAGGTCTGGGACTCAAACAGTGGTTGACCATATCCAGTGCCTTAGCTAAATAAAGCTCTTTAATCATTTGAAGCACAGAAACTATACATGAATGTTTCAGTGTTGAAATGGTTTTGTATTTAGGCTTTTTTTTTTTTTTTAGTAGAAATTGAATGACTTTTTGACTTACAAATTACATTTTGAATGTATTTTTGTTCCATTTCTTTTGTGATCATTTTTGGGAACAGTGGACATGTATATGTTAGACATCTGGTTCTCAGATGAGCTCTTCCTACTATCTTCTCTATCACAGTAAATTATAGAACTTTTGGCCTGGTTGCTCAGAACAAAAACCTTTGAGGCTTCTTTGATTCTTTTCTCTCATACCTCTCAACCAGTCCTTTAGCAAATCCTGTTGGTTCTTCTCACTGTCTGCTGCTACTTCCTTAGGCCAGGCCACCTTTGTCTCATACCAGGACTGTGTTAATAATGTCTGTAAGAGTTTGCTAGGTCTTCCGTAACAAACTACCACAAACCAGATGACTTAACAGAAATTGCTAAGTCTTGTGATTCTAGAGGCCAGAAATGGAAATCAACCCCAGAGTCAAGGTTGGTTTCTTTCAAGGGCTGTGAGAATCTGTTCCAGATCTCTCTTTAGTGCACAGCATTTGCTGATGATCTTTGGCATTCTTCAGTGCATAGAAACATCACCCTGCTGCTCTCTACATACATGTGTTTGCATGTGTCCAAATTCCTCCCCACCTTTTTTTTTTAAGGACATCAGTTATACTGGAATAGAACTTATTCTAATGACCTTATTTTAACTTGGTTATTGTTGTAAATACTGTATCGCCAAATAAAGTCATATTCTGAGGTGCTGGGGTTTTGGATTCTAACATTTTTTTTATGGAGAAACACAGTCAGTAATACTGGTCACACTACAGTCCCTTCTCCATTCTCTCGGGATTTTGGGCACACTTGCACATGGCATGATTTTCAAGCTGCCAGGTCTGGGACTCAAACAGTGGTTGACCATATCCAGTGCCTTAGCTAAATAAAGCTCTTAAATCATTTGAAGCACAGAAACTATACATGAATGTTTCAGTGTTGAAATGGTTTTGTATTTAGGCTTTTTTTTTTTTTTTAGTAGAAATTGAATGACTTTTTGACTTACAAATTACATTTTGAATGTATTTTTGTTCCATTTCTTTTGTGATCATTTTTGGGAACAGTGGACATGTATATGTTAGACATCTGGTTCTCAGATGAGCTCTTCCTACTATCTTCTCTATCACAGTAAATTATAGAACTTTTGGCCTGGTTGCTCAGAACAAAAACCTTTGAGGCTTCTTTGATTCTTTTCTCTCATACCTCTCAACCAGTCCTTTAGCAAATCCTGTTGGTTCTTCTCACTGTCTGCTGCTACTTCCTTAGGCCAGGCCACCTTTGTCTCATACCAGGACTGTGTTAATAATGTCTGTAAGAGTTTGCTAGGTCTTCCGTAACAAACTACCACAAACCAGATGACTTAACAGAAATTGCTAAGTCTTGTGATTCTAGAGGCCAGAAATGGAAATCAACCCCAGAGTCAAGGTTGGTTTCTTTCAAGGGCTGTGAGAATCTGTTCCAGATCTCTCTTTAGTGCACAGCATTTGCTGATGATCTTTGGCATTCTTCAGTGCATAGAAACATCACCCTGCTGCTCTCTACATACATGTGTTTGCATGTGTCCAAATTCCTCCCCACCTTTTTTTTTTAAGGACATCAGTTATACTGGAATAGAACTTATTCTAATGACCTTATTTTAACTTGGTTATTGTTGTAAATACTGTATCGCCAAATAAAGTCATATTCTGAGGTGCTGGGGGTTTGGATTCTAACATTTTTTTTATGGAGAAACACAGTCAGTAATACCCTGCTTCATGTATAGTCATGTTCACAGGTACCAGGGGTTAGGACTTAAATGACATTTTTTTTTTTTTAGAGATTTTTTTTTTTAGAGATTTTCACTGTAGGGCGCGCCTGTCTACCTAGTGACTCAAATCTTATGGTCTCTTTGGTCTCTCTTTCTCTCAGTCCTCATTCCATCAATATATGGGGACAAGATGATTCTATAAATAAAACTAGACAAGGAGTTCTCTGGTAATAATTATGGTTGGAGCCCACTCCATACCTCATATAAGGATGAATTCTAAGTGGATCAGATACTTACTTGAAAATAATGATACCAATGTACTAAGCCAAGTCATAAATTATTTCATAATCCTAGAATATGGATAGCTTTTCTAGGACACAGAATCCAGAAACTATTATAACCAAAGTCAGAAAACAATGAATAGGCAGGCCTGTCTCAGGCCTCTCTCTGCACATGCCTGCCATCCTCTCTGCTTCTGCTGACCAGGTTGTGATATAGCACCACAGCAGGCTTGATGCCAGCCCCACGCCTTTGGACTTTCCAATCACCACAATGAAGAGTCAAGTAAACCTCTATTCTTTATAAATTACCCAGTCACAGGTATTTCTATAAGCAACACAATAGAGAACTAAGACATAGCTGACAATTTCCTTATGCCATACACACTGAGGAGAACACATTTGTAAAATATATTAGAGGCAAATAACTAATTCTCCCTATAAAGCTCCACAAATCTGTTAAGTGAAAAGACCAACAGTCCACAATCCGATAGAAAAACAGGCATAGCTATGGCCCCTCCCCCCCGGGAGGCGATTTCTCACTTTCTGTCATAAGAGCAAGAATTCACTGTCTCACAAGACAGCATTAATCCATTCATAAGGGTGTTGCCTCCATGATCCAATCACTATCCCCTAGGCCTTACCTTTTAAAGGTCTCACCACTTCCTAATGCACTAGAGACCAAATCCAAAACATGAACCTGTGGGTGACCAAATTGAAAAAATGTCCACACAAAAATTTGTATACAAATGTCCATAGCAGCACTATTCATAATAGCTAAAATGTGAAAATAACCGAAATGTCCATCAGCTGCTGCATGAATAGAGGACACATGGTATAGCTACACAATGGGATATCATCCAGCAATAAAGAAATGACTCTGATACATGTTATAGGAAGGTCATCCTCTTTGACCAAATGCACAGCTTTTGGAGGGATGCACAGCAAGCTAATCGAAGGATAGCAGTTAAAACACTGAGGGGTTTACATGCTCCAAGAGCAGGTGGGTACAGGTGTGAGGCTTTTAGACAGACGTCATAGGAACTGATTCCTTTTGCTGATTTCGTTTTTGGGAATGGTTGTATGATAGTTGTGCATATGTGAGTGAATAAGCCATTTCCAAATTAGTTTTCTTTTTTCTTTCAAGGGACGGTGGTTTATTTGTTCTTTTTTGTTGTTTTAATACATATTTTAGGCTAGGTAATATTTTAACATGGTTTGTAATAAAAAAGGTACAAAAGGACATACTGTGAAAAGTCTGCCTCTCCTCACTAGCTGTCATAAACAATCAAAAGTTTGTTCTTTGGTATCCTTCCAGAGAAGTTTAACACAGACATAGACAAATAAGAATTTATCCCTTGCCTTTTTTGTACACAGATGGTGGCATACTGTACACACTGTTCTGCCCTTTGCCTTTTTCACTTCACAGTTTGTGTTGGAGATGTTTGCATGTCAGGATGTGGAGAACATCTCATCATTTTTATTTATTTATTTTTTTGGTTTTTGCAATAAGATACCTGTATTCACTGAAGAGAGATGGGGGGTGGGGGATAGTGAGAAATCACCCCGCGGTTGGGGGGATAACCACGTCACAATCCCTTCTCCTCCATTGTCCCCTTGGGATTTCGGGCACGAAGGCACACGTGCCCAGTGTGTTTCTCAAGCTGCCAAGTCCAGAACTCGAATTATGGAGTGGGATCCTGCACCTTAAGCCCCACACCACATTCTTTATTTTATTTTTTCTTTTTTTTGGAGAGGTTTTTGCTATAAGGGCATGTGTGCTCACCAGACAGACAGAGACACAGAGAGATTGAAAGCGAGAAGTCACCCCCCAGAGGGGTTGACCACGCTGCAGTCCCTTCTCCTCCATTCTCCTCTTGGGATCTTGGGCATGTATGCACACGCGCCCGGCGTGAGTTTAAGCCACCGGGTCCGGGACGCGAACCACGGTCGACTACGTGGGAGTCCAGCAACATAGCCATTATGCCAACTGCTGGTCCCAACCCCACACCACATTCTAACCCTCATTTTTTTTAATGCCTTCATAACAGCACATTTTGTGGACTTGCCATGCTGACAAGTCCCCTATTGATATACATTTGGTTCCTTGTTTTGTTGTTGCAGATGGTATAATAGTACATGTAGTCCATGTGGATTCTGTATAAATATATAACTGTAGGGTACATGGAATTGCTAGCTCAAAGAACTGATTTTCATATATATCACCAAATTGACCTCCACAGAGACCACCAGTTTTCATTACCAACGTTTTAATGCCTACATTAGCACCTTCAATGACTTTTTCACATTATTTTCAATTTGTGTTGCTTTTATTATGTGACTGAAGTTGAGCCTCTTTTTACGTTGTTGTGAGCTATTTACATTTCCTATTTCCTTTACTATGAACTCTCCTAATGTCCTTTGTCTGTTGTTTTTTTTTAATTGTGGGTGTGTGTGAGCACTTGCCAGAGAGAGAGAAAACACCCCAACAATGGGGTGTGTTCATGCCACATTCCCTTCTTCTCCATTTGTCCATCCTATTGGGATTTAGAGCATGCATGCATACATGCTTGTTTTGTTTCTCAAGCCTCTGGGCCTGGGATTCAAACCATAGTCAGAGCCATGTGGGATCTGGCTCCCTTAACCACTAGGCCATGGAGCTGGCTCTCCTTCCTCTTTTGTTAAAGTTTATTTATTTCCTGAGCATGTGGATGTGCATGTGGGAGAAGGACTGGCCTTGGAGTGAAAGAGGGGGATATCCCCAACAGGATCTCATCGCACTGTAATTACCCCCCACTAGCCATTCAGCTAGCCAGGATCATGGCAGGCATGCCCAGCCTGTTCAGGTTGACCCAGGATCTGATTCTGGGGCCTCCCATATAGTTTCAGTACTGCACAGTGGTACTGCCTACACCTCTGCAGCAAGGCCTGCCTGTTTTTCTATCGGATTGTGGACTGTTGGTCTTTTCACTTAACAGATTTGTGGAGCTTTATAGGGAGAATTAGTTATTTGCCTCTAATATATTTTACAAATGTGTTTCCTATTCATTGTTTTCTGACTTTGGTTACAATAGTTTCTGGATTCTGTGTCCTAGAAAAGCTATCCATATTCTAGGATTATGAAATAATTTATGACTTGGCTTAGTACATTGGTATCATTATTTTCAAGTAAGTATCTGATCCACTTAGAATTCATCCTTATATGAGGTATGGAGTGGGCTCCAACCATAATTATTACCAGAGAACTCCTTGTCTAGTCTTATTTATAGAATCATCTTGTCCCCATATATTGATGGAATGAGGACTGAGAGAAAGAGAGACCAAAGAGACCATAAGATTTGAGTCACTAGGTAGAGAGCTATGGCATTTATTGATATGGAGAAACATGGGGAGGATCTAGGTTTTTGGGGTGAATAGAAGTGAGTTTTGGCTATGTCAGTCTTTGAGACATCTATTAGACAGCCAAGTAGAGAGGCTGAAAAGGTGGTATTTGAAGAGTGAATCAGCTAGAGAGAGATACTTGGCATAGGATACTTTCCAAATTAATGATGAATGTTTTTTGACATGAATGAAGTGTTCTTAAATGTATCCTATTTTTTACCTGTACAAAATAACCAACATCTGGATTATTTCTGGAAAAGAAATGATAAGAAACAACAGTAATTGACTTTTAAGGGATAAGATTGAGGGTCTAGAATTGGAGAGATATCACCTACTTTTCACTGAATTTATTTTTGCCCTATCTGAATTTTTAGTTTCCTTTCTTCTTGAAAAACATGTATTTTTTTATTTATTCAATGAGAGAGACAGAGACAGAGATACAGGACCTTTGATGAGCTCCTGATGCTATAATCCACTCCCAACCTCAACTAGCCTCACTCAACCTCAGATCATGGTACATCTATGCCCATCCTACTCAAGGAGGTCTCTGAATGTGAACTGGCAACTTTCTTTCCCATGTGAGATTGCCTTGCAGAGCATTGGATTTTACTGTGTGCCATCCAGCTCCTTATAATTCCATTTGCTCTGAGTGGTTTTGGAAATGCCTACTGGTAAGTCAGGTAGCAGAGGGAGTTCAAAGCTCTGAAAGGTGGTGTTCCCTACTTCTAGGGTACATATTGTTAGTAATACTAGATCTTCAGGATTCTAGACAAATCACCTCACCTTTGTCCCTAGCTTCTTTCGTATTTGTCCTAGGTTGAGACCAGTAAAAACTGTTTCTCTTACCTGATCAAATGTAAATAATAAGAAATGTCTTTGAAAAATTTTAATTAATATTGTATGTCAAGCTCAGAAGGAACTATTTAAGTTGATTTAGACAACCTATTTAGTGTCATGATAATGGTAGTAAAAAGATAGAATTTTGTATCTTTTTTTTTTTTAAAGGTTTTTGCCATAGGGTATGTGCACTCACTGGAGAGAAACAGGGAGAGTGAAAGGGAAAGTGAGAAATCATCACCCTTCAGGGAGGATGGCCGCACCACAATGCCTTCCTCGTTCTCCTCCTGGGATTTTGGACACGCATGAACATGCACCTGGCATGACCTCAGTGAGCCATATGGAAGTCCAGCGCCATAACCACCATGCTACCTGCTCACCCCAGAATTTTGCATTTTAACATTGATTCTTAGCCTGATTCTCCTATTTTCTTTTCTTTTCTTTTTTTTTCCAGATATGTGAGTATAGGCAACTTGACTTCTTTGAGATTCTGTTTTCTTAACTGGAAAGAAGATAACTTTGGCCTCTCTGGGTTTTTAGAAGGATTAAATATGATGTATGTAAATATATTCTTTTAACTCAGCGGCCAAAAGGCCCAGTAGTGACTTGTCCTAACTTCTTAGCTCTGCCATTGTGGCACAAAAGTTTAAGTGAATAGACCAATAAAACTTAGAGCAGAAGGCAGCAGGTTGGAGTTGGCCTGCGGCTTCCAGTTTAGCGACACCTACTCTGACCTATAAAGTACTATGTAATGTTCAATAATTGTCATGACTTTTTCCCTTCAGGCTAATGTAATGCTTGAATATGATATTGATGAAGCTCAGGCACTGTTGGAAAAGAACTTATCGACTGCCACAAAGAATCTTGATTCTCTTGAGGAAGACCTTGACTTTCTTCGAGATCAATTTACTACCACAGAAGTCAGTATCCTTTCTTTAAAAAAAGAAAAAAAAGGAAACAGATTTTTTTTAGCATTCTCATTTACACTGGTTAAATAGTAAGAATGTCTTTTATCTTAGACTCATTTGAAGCTTCAGATTTTATAAGATGTAAATAGCATATTCAGAACTAATACTGAAATAACCTCACAGATATTAGTTCTTCGAGAAAGTCATGACATATTTTTCTGTTTTTCTATGTAAAAATGCTTCATGACTTTCCTGACAACCCAATAATAGATTAATGAATTTGAAATGTGAAGGTGTACAAATAGCAAATTCACATAGGTTTGGTGAATGAGTATTTTACTTTCAAGAATTTTCCAAGACACCTTTATAGCTAGTTATCCTGTTTAATTCCACAGCACTTATTAAGGGTCTCTTATGTTTGAACAAACTATGCTAAGCCATATGGGGCATGGAAATCAATGAAGAAAAGAAAGAGTAGCAAAGTCTATGTTAAAACTGCACTTGTAAAACAGCTGAATGACACCATAACACCAAGGCAATTTAAAGTTGTGAAAGTTAGATGTGAACTACAGTTAGATCAGAGAAAGTTTTTCAGAGAGGATAAAATTTAGACTTTTTTTTCGAGAGGTTTTTGCCTTAGGGCATATGCACTCGCTAAAGAGAGAGGGAGACAGAGACAGTGAGAGGGAAAGTGAGAAATCAACTCTGGGACAATTGCCACGCCACAGTCCCTTCTCCTCCATTCTCCTCTTGGGATCTTGGGCACCCTCGCACACACGCTCAAGCCACTGGGTCCAGGGTTTGAACTGCAGTTAGCCATTTGGGAGTAAAGTGATATAACCACCATGGTATCTCTTGGTCCTGAAATTTAGACTCATTTTAAAGGCAGTGTAGGATTTCAGTCAGTAGAGAGAAGAGGTAAGGATGACATATTCTGGTCAAGGGTTAGGTCAGGCATGTTGATACCAAGTTCTCTGGCATGTTTCTTCCTCCTGGTTCCTGTCACAGTCACCCAAGGCAAAAACCTGGGAGTCATCTTTCACACTTTTCTCTTTCACTCTACCAATAATGAACCATCACCAGGTTCTTGTCAATTTTCCCTCATAACTATCTCTGCCCATTGACATTACTACTCTCCTGGGCCTCCAGAACCTGCACACAGTAGTGGTAATCTCTCCTCCTTCCATCTGTCCTTCACACTATCTTCAGCATGAATTTACTGTCACACCTCTTAATTTTGTTCTTCTGATTACAGTATTCAGCAGTTCCTTGTTACATGTAAGGCATGCCTTCGGGCCCTCTGAAGTACTCTCAACCAAGTCTCACTTCATATCACTGACTTTTTCATGCCCTAGTTCTTCCCTAGTACACCCCAGGTTCCAGGTAACCCCTATCAGTTATTCTCACTCCTTGAATGTGTCATGCTCTTTGCGTTTCTATACTCTATCCCTTCTACCTGGAATGATTTCCTCTTATTTACCTGAGGTACTTTTTTTTTATCCTTCATATTTCAGTTTAAGCATTGGAATAGTCCTCAACATTTTCTCTTAGGGTGTTTTGTTGTTCCTCTGTGCTTGCTTAGCACTTTGCACATAGTACTTTGTTTTCTTTGCCAGATTAAGAGCTCTTCAAATGTAGGAGCAGCATCTTCTTTCTCTTCCAGAATGTAGCATGTGCCAGGCATTTTGTGCTTGGGTGAGGAAAGACAGTCTTGCTTGAGGCTTAGTGCAGGGCTTATCATCTGGGATAATGATCAGAGACCACATCTGCAAGGTGATGAGGGCCTAGAAGGAGTGATGCTTGTGGAAAGGAAGAGATGTTAAATGTGAGAGAAAGAACAAGGTTCTGTGGATATGAGCCCTATAAGCATAGAGAAATGCCATTTGTTATTGCTAGTGTTGGCAAAGGTGGGAAGGTGTGCAGACAGATGTGAGGGAGCTAGGCTGTTCAGTTTCTGATATACTGATCTACTGGAGTCTAAGTTCCATGAGGGAAAGAATTTCACCTGTCTTGCTTGGGACTATTTGAAAACACAGCAGATGCTCAGTAAACAGAATGAATGTCCTGGTAAATCAAAGGGAGGGTATGAGAGTGTCTAGCATGTGTTCGTTAAATAAAATGCCATAGTTGACTACACATGCTAAATAACTGTTGATTTGTGGCATTGACTTGTTTTTGGTAAAATTTAAGTATTTTCTTAGCAATTGATAGTATAGCAATATAGCCTATAGCTGGAGTTGCCACCAATATTTGTGTTATGTGTCCTGTCCGTGTCTTTGATTCATTGTGTGAGTGAATACTTAGTTATTACATATGTTAATTTTAGAATTGCATTTGCATTTTCTTTGACAATTTTTGCAGATATGGCCAGGGTTTATAATTGGGATGTGAAAAGAAGAAACAAAGATGATTCTACCAAGAACAAAGCATAATGCTGGCAATTAGAAACGTGTTTCAGTTTTCCAGACATGTTATTTTAAATTCCCCAATGTTTATTCTTAAAGAGTAACACAACTTTGATTTTTTAACAGTAAGAATGATGTTTAAAACCTAAAAAAAGATAAACATCCTTTTATTTATTTATAAAAGCAAAATGTTTTGATATTTTTAAACTAGTATTTTTTTCTCATATTTCCAAGCAATGTTAATGCTGCTTTCATCATTTCTTTTGTCTGTCATAAGAAGACACTGAGCTGAAATGGCCGAAAACTGTGAGGTATTCTCTGGACACTAGCCTGGTTTACTTTTTCTTCATTGGCTGATGTTACTCTCACTTGAGGTTGCATTGTTTGAGAAGTAGGAAAGACAGACAGTTTGAATATTTGTACTTATTTTTCTTTAGCACTTGGGGGATTTCATGATCCTCCATTGCCGTTACTTATCTTCTGTAAATGGGCTTTTGTAAATGACTGCTTAACCAATGACTATTATATTATGATAGCCTGAGCTTTGCAGGAAATGGTAGTTTGCCTTCCTACATAGTAAGAGGGCTATAGAGACAACATTTTTTCTAACCCCAAGTAAGTGCATAGTGTCTTTGCGATGCCAGCATAATGGAGATCTTGGCCAATGTGAAATAATATCCCTTCAATACTCTTGGCTAAAATGATTTTCTATTTCTCAACAGTTCTCCAAACAGCTTGAACAGAATATTAGAAATGGTAGTTTGCCTTCCTACATAGTAAGAGGGCTATAGAGACAACATTTTTTCTAACCCCAAGTAAGTGCATAGTGTCTTTGCGATGCCAGCATAATGGAGATCTTGGCCAATGTGAAATAATATCCCTTCAATACTCTTGGCTAAAATGATTTTCTATTTCTCAACAGTTCTCCAAACAGCTTGAACAGAATATTATTAAGATCTGTATAAATCTGCAATGGTTGAAGTGAGTCATGAGCTTTTTTTATTCATGATAAAACCTCATAGGAATAATGAAAAATAAAATCCCTGTGGATAGCCATTGGGGTACAGTGGCTAGTCATTGGGAATAAAGATTCTGGTAAAAACACAAGTGTATGATTTCATCTCCTTGTAGTAAGAAGCATACTTGTACAATGTTTTGTACTTGTACTTCATGATATTAAAACAGTGATGTTAAAACTGTGGCATATTACTCTTTTGTCTTATTGTGTTTGGGTTGTTATAACAATATCTTAGACCAGGTGGCCTATAAACAAGAGACATTTATTTCTAAAGTTCTGGAGACTGGGAATTCCAAGATCAAGTCACTAGCAGATTAGAAGTCTGGTGAGGGCAGCTTTCTGGTTCATAAGTGGCACCCTTTCTATTTCTTTTTCTTTCTTTTTTTATTTTTTTGAAAGGTTTTTGCTATAGGACATGTGTGCTTGCCAGAGAAAGACAGAGACACAGAAAGCAAGAAATCACCCCCTCCCCAGGGGGATGGCCACGCCACAATCCCTTCTCCGTTCTCCTCTCGCATATCTTGGGCATGCATGCACATGCACCCGGCATGAGTTTAAGCCACTGGGTCTAGGACTTGAACCACAGTCGACTACTTAGGAGTCTAGCGACATAGCCATTACGCCAACTGCTAGTCCCAGTAGTACCCTTTTGTTGTGTTCTCTCATGGTAAAAGGGTCAAGGAAGTGCTTTGGACTTTTTAAAAAAGAGTTATTTATTTTATTTATATATTTTTTATTATCATTATTATTTAATTTGATGAAAGAGAATCAGAGAGGGAGGGAAAGTGAGAAAGCAAGCCACCAGGTTTGGGACTTGAACTGTGGTTGGCCATGTGAGAGTCTAGCACCTTAACCAACATGCTTCCTGCTGGTCTACATTGGACTTTTTTAAGGGCACTAATTTCATTCATAAGGGTTCTACTCTTATGACCTAATGACCTCCTAAAGGGTCTTACCTCCTTTTATTCCTTAGATTTTTGCTATAGGGCATGTGTACTCACTGGAGAGACAGCAAAAGATAGACAGAAAGCAAGAAATCACCCCCCCCCCCCCCCCCAGTGGGTCTGGCTAGGCCACAGTCCCTTCTCCTCCATTCACCTCTTGGGACTTTGGTCACGCATGTACACATACCCAGCATGAGTTTTAAGCTGCCGAGTCTGGGACATGAAACATGGTCGCCTATGTGGAAGTCAAGCAACGCAACCATTATGCCATCTGCTGGTCCCAGAGACATACCTCTTAATGCCATCATCTTGAAAGTTAGGTGTTTTTTTTTTAAATTATTTAATTGTATTAATTATTTTTAAAAAATTTGTTATAGGGCTCATGTGCTCACCAGAGAAAGAGAGAGAGCAAGAGAGAGGGAAAGTGAGAAAGCAAACCACAATGTCCGGAACTCAAACTGTGATAGGCCATGTGGGAGTCCAGCACCTTAAGCACCATGCCACCCGCTGGCCCTAAGAGTTAGAGTTAGGGTTTTAACATGAGTTTTGGAGTCATAACAGACATCAGACCATAGCATATTTCTAACATTATCCTAAATCTTTTCACATATTTGTAAAGTTTATTTACTTATATATATAACTAGCATGTTCTAAGATCTTATATCTGTTGAAATAAAATAAAATCCCTTTGGAAGTTACTCTTTTAGATAACAAAGTTCCTTGATTCAGTTTTTCTTTTGTAATTTCTTTCATATGAGAGAGCAAGACAGACAGGCACCTTTGACAAGGTCTTCAACACCTGTCAAAGGTTCTTTCTCTTGCTCTGCTCTAGCCAGGATCACAGTTGTACCTATAAGTACACCAGACATGTTAATGTAGACCTAGGGCACAAACTCAGAGCCTTCTCACATAGTTTCCATAGCCTTCTCACAGAAGCTCTACCTCCTGTGCCACTGCTGCTGGATCATTTCATAATTTTAAACTGGAAGTTTGTAATCATCTTCAGATATAGTAAGTGCTATATTTTCCCAAACTTTATCATGGTAACTATATTGGTATAAAATGTCCCTGTTAACATTAGAAAGAATATGAAGAAACAAATTCTTTGGAAAAGTGAATTAAAAGGACAAAAAAAGTTAATTATTCAACAAATATTTATTAACACTCAATATGTGTCAAGAATGGTTTAGACTCTGTTAATTAAATAAAAGGAAGATATTTAAAGCTTGTCTCTGCCAAATATTTTGTATTATAGTCTTGTTCATTTTCAGAACAACATAACCAGCCTGATTTGAGATGATGTTATCAAAAGACCTGTGAACTGCTGAATTATTCACTTAGAGAAAAAAATTTTAAACTACCCAAATTTCTAATTACAGGTGAATGACAGTTTACTATGGTTACCCATTAGTGTACTATTACAAAACTAGTAAAATGATGTTGATGCAATAGCATTATACAATAAGCAAATTTCATGTTAAGTTGTATGCATAAGTTTTTTAAAAAACAGTTGAAATTGTCTTTTTAATTTTTGTTTTCCTTTTTTATTATTATTTAATTTATTTTATACATTTAATCATTGTACATATCTACAGCTTGTAAAATGAATTTACCCATCATGAACACACTTTCCACCAGTCAAGTTGAAGATATACACATTATCATCAACAGATAATTCTCCATTTCTGTGTCCCTCAGATGTCTTGCCTCTCTTTTTCTCCTTGATTCCTTTCCTCTCTGCTCCATCTTCCACCCTTCCCACACTATCTCCAATGTCCTTGTCTTTATCATTTCAATACTACTTTCCTCACTTAACATGAAATTTGCTTATTGTATAATGCTATTGCATCAACATCATTTTACTAGTTTTATAATAGTACACTAATGGGTGAACCATAGTAAACTGTCATTCACCTGTAATTAGAAATTTGGTTGATTAAAAATTTGTGAATAATTCAATTGTTCACAGATTTTTTTCTTGAGTTTTTTTTCTTCTGTCAGAGGCACCCCAACAGAGCCCTCATACTGTGATCCACCCCATCTCAGCCAGCCCAGATCGAAGGCACATGTGCATGTACCCACATTATATAGGAAGACTGGGATGCAAACCTGGGACCTTCCCATGGGGGTCAAGCCTTGCAGAGCATTGGTCTATGGCTGAGTCACTGACTGCCCAGGTTTACGTTTTTATATAGACCCTTTTTTGTGTTTAGGGTTTTTCCTGAGACTAGATTACCAAAAAATGGAATTACTGTGTCAAAGATTATAGCATTTTATTATCTAAGACTAACAGTAGTTTTGTTATACAGCACTTGTTTGACACAGAGGCTGAAGAGTATTTAGGTATGTTGACAACTGAATGATGCATTATTAACTAAGACCAACAGGCAAAAGCATAAGAAACTGCTTTTGCTCTCATTCTAAAAGTCCAGAATTAAGAGGTGTGTTTTATAGGTTTGACAGTTTAAGACAGACACAAGTCTAGAATGTTTTTTTTATTCCAGTTGTACTATGATGCCTCGCTCCTTTACTTAGAAATGACTGGTAGCTAAGTTTGATAGAAAAGTTAAGTTCAGTCCTGTAATGAATGAATAGTCATCTTTCTCTGTATTTGCTATTCTCAGCCCTATACCTCAGTGATACTTTTAAGGGTCTTAAACCATTTTTTAAAGGTTTGCCTTCATTGGTTCTAATTTCACACTTCTTTTTTATAGCCATGTGTATGCCTGTTGTGTTGCTGATGTGGGATGGGGTTGCCTCTGAAGACACTACTAAGTGCAGATGCGACACCCTTCACAGCTGGTATTAGATTCACTACACTACTAAACTCCCAAGACCTACAAAGGCCATGTCTGATACCAGTTTACTCTGAAGGGCATGGGATAGACAAGACAGCATGCCAGGGGACAATTTTAGGTACAATTCCTCTATGGGAATTATCACAGCAGTCCCCAGAGACTACACCGAAGAGTACAGAAGCCACCCTGGCTTGAGGAACCATAAGGGACTATTTCCTGTTTGACATCCTTTGTGCATATAGCATCCGCAGGTCCTGGCTAGAGACAGGCAAAGAATGAGTTACACTTGGGAGCTCAAGCCATGGCTCCTAGCAGGTGTTCAGTTCTGTTATACATGGTAATAGCGACTTAATCATTATGCCATCTGCTAGTCCCAAGTAAAGCATTTCTTAAAATAATGGATTGGGAGTCCAGAGATGGTGCAGGAGTTATGTCACTAGGCTCACACATGGCTGACTGTGGTTCAAGGCCCAGACCCAGTGGCTTGAAAATCATGCAGGGCACTTGTGCGTTCTTGCCCAAGATCCCAGGAGGAGAATGGAGAAGGGATTGCGGCATGGCCATCCCCCTGGCCGGCGGGTGGTCTCTCACTTTCCCTCTGTCTCTCTTACTCTCTGGGGAGCGCATGTGCTCTAAGGCAAAAGCATAAGTTTGCCTTTTTTTTTTTTTTTGGAGACAGAAAGCGAGACATCACCCCCTAGAGGGGATAGCCATGCTACAATCCCTTCTCTTCCATTCTCCTCTCAGGATCTTGGGCACGCACGCACATGCACCCGGAGTGAATTTACGCCACCGGGTCTGGAACTTGAACCACAGTCGACTACATGGGAGT